GAGAGAGAGAGAGAGAGAGAGAGAGAGAGAGAGAGAGAGAGAGAGAGAGAGAGAGAGAGAGAGAGAGAGAGAGGAGCGATCCAAGATTGGTTGTCACTTACCTGTGAGGCGAGTGTGCAGTCCGGTGGAGAAGAAGATAGCGGCCATACCCGCGGAGTATCATCACAGGGTATCGAAGGAGAGAGATAGGGAGGACAGAGAAGGAGGGACTGAGGAGAGAGAAGAAGAAGTGTGGAAGGAGGGCACTGGAGAAGAAGACAGACATAGCCGGGGGTACAAAAAAATAAAATAAAATATATATATATATATATATATATATATATCTATAATATATAGAGAAAGTGAAGAAGAAGAAGAGTGAAGGAAGGGGAAGTAAGCGGCGAGGGTGACGAAGGTGAAGGTGCCGACAGCCATAGCCGAGGTGAAGGGTTGATCGGGCATTGACCCGAGCGTTGACCAGAGGGTTGACCAGGGGTTGACCAGGTGTTGACCAAGGGTGTTGACCAAGCGTTGACTGGGGGTTGCCCGCGTTGACCAAGGTGTTGACCGGAGCTGTTGACCGGAGTTGTTGACCGGAGCTGTTGACCAAGATTTTGACCAAGCTGGAGATGGTGATATCTCGCTGAGTCCTTAGCCTATCCCCTTACCCTGTGGATGTGCACACCCCCTACGGTGCTTGCTGAGTTGAGTCTGTCTGTCTTTCCTTTCTGCGTTGAGTCTCTTCTGTCCTAGGTGTTAGGACTCTGTGGATGAAGGATAGGGCCTTGCTGCCAAACCTGCACGGGACTTAGTAGGACTAATCTCTACTCTGGCATCTGGAGACCTGGGCATGAGCGGCGAGGGCTCGTTAAACATCTCGTCTAGCCCAATGACCGGTACTGTCCGGCAGGTCTACTGAGTTCAGTGTAGAGGGTCCGAACTCCGAGTTGTAGGCAGAAACAAAGGCCGTCTTTAAGTGTTGAGGCCTGGTTGAACCACTCCCCTACCGGACCTAGTAAGGCTGATGATTTGTGTCTGACGACTCGACTGTCCGGAGGGATACGAACCCCTCCAAGGACCGGTACAGACCGGCGGGCTGCTCGGTGTGGCACAGTAGGCTGGAAAGGCTGAGTTGTGGGCTGAAATCGCCAGGAAGAACTACGCTGATCACGTCGTCCTGACTGCGACGTTAAAGAATTTTTGCGGAGTTTGGGGGATCTCCTTACATGCCTCCAGATCAGCTGTTAGTTCAGTAGTGACAGCCTTAGAGTAGTTGTGAGTAGTGGATCTTAGAGAGTCAGTCAGTGGGGTAGTGTCCGGGTAGGTCTAAGTGGTGAGGAGTGGGACCCTTGTCGTGCACCTAACACCACGATGGACGACTATCCGATGTATGGGTTGCTCGTTGGGTTCTCCTTCTGGGGGACCCTTTGGCGTCTCCTCTTTCCTCTGGGCTTCTGACCCACATTCACGTGTGGAGTAGGGACTCGGGGTGGTACTTCCACCCAGCTTACACGAAGGAGGATGAGGAGAAGATGGCCGCCATTCTGCAGGAGAGGAAGGAGAAGGAGGCCAAGAAGAAGGCCTTGAAGGAGGAGCAGGCGGCCAAATTGAAGAAGATAGAAGAAGAGATGGCCAGAGAGAAGGAGAGGATACAGAAAGAAGAAGAAGAGAAGTTGAAAGAGGTGGAAGAGGAGGAAGAAGATGAAACGCCACTGCAGAGGAAGAAGGGGCAGTACAGTGGCAGTAGGGATGAGGAGATGGAGAAGCGGATCTCAGAGTGGGTCGCCAACTTATCCTTGGGCGAAGAAGAAGAGGTGGCGATGTATATGTCTAAGGGCGATCAGGAAGCCGCTATGAGAGCTTGGGAAGCAGAAAAAGATGTTGTAAAGCGGTAGACGATGGAAGATGAGAAGAGGATGGAATGGAGATTGGCAGTGATGAGGGAGAAGAAGAGGAGAGTGGACGCGGCAGCGGAGGCGGCAGAAGAATTAGAGGGGGTAAAAAAGATAGAAGAGCAATTAGCCGTCCAGACCGAACTCCCAGCCCAAATGCGAGTCGTAGCCCGAAACGTTGCACGCCAGACACGAATTCAGGCAGAGCAATACGACTTTAGTAGGAGCCAGCACATAGCTGTGCGTTCGATACGGTTGGGATTCCGGGACTTTGCTTGCGAGCTGGTAGGCGCTGTAGGAACCGAGGTGGGCCACCGCCTCGACAAGACTGAGCGGTTTTGTGCCGGCGCCATTGAAGGCGTTAAAGCGGCAGCTCCCAAGGAGGAGGAAGCATGTCCTCCTTGTCGGGAGCCGGTCAAAGTCAAATTCCCTGATTCCTACAGTGGAAAACGGAAAGAGAACTTTGACAATTGGGAGGCTAATGTCAAGACCTATGTGCATTTGCAACAGGTCTCCCCAGATCAGCAGGTTCTAATTGTGATTCACGCGCTTAGAGATGAAGCCGCCAGCTTTGCAAGGTCCCTAGTCCGCGCTGCCAACTGTAGTGACGATCCAGTTGCGTACTCCTCGTTCACTTCCCTCACTGAATTCTTGAAGCTGCTGCGCGAGCGATTTGCTGATGTCGCTCGAAGTGTCAAGGCCTCAGACAAGCTCCAGATGATCCATGCTCGTAAGTGGAAGAGTGCCAGAGCGCTCAAGAGCACAATGGACGAACTAATAGCTGTCCCTGACCACGGGGTTACCGACACCCAGTTGGTTGCCCTCTTTTACAGAGCTATGCCCGAAGCTTTTCGCGGGAACTTCTTCGCGAAGAGCGAAGACCCTGCCACCACTTACGATTCCCTTAGCCGTGAGGTGGTGGCCTTTGAGGCCAAGTCTATGTCAGTCTCGACCTTCTGGCTCAAAGATTTGGATAAGGGAAAGCAATGGAAGGGCCGCACTATTTCTAGGCAAGTGAAGACTAAGGATAGTCTTGTCCTAACCTTAGATGAGGGTAGTGTGGACGAGATTCCCCATGATCTGATAGAGTGGGGATTAGAGGAGGATGACAGCGGTGTGGGCCAGGGAAGATCTTACGCTACTATCGCGTCCGGAGGGAGGCCGCAAGGAGGAGGACGAGGCCAAGGCTAAGGGGGCCGGGCCTCAGGGAGCCGGTTCCAGGGCGATCAGGGGGTTGGCGGCAGAGGAGGAAACCGCCAAGCGGGAGGAAGGGGTCAAGGTCCCCCGCAAAACCGTCCTAGGAATAGGTCTCCCTATAGGGTAGGAGGATGGCACCCGGGCCTACCACAGGGTAGGCCTTGGGAAACTTTGGGTCTGGACCAGACTTTATGGCAACAACGATTGGACCGGGGCCATTGCATTTTCTGCGGTGACCCGGGCCACATTATCAAATACTGTCCTAAGTATCGAGAGACCCGAACAGCTGCTCAAGGGCCAAAAGGCAGCCGCCGGTAGGGGTAGCAACTGCCCCTACCATCAGGCCATGTGGGGAACATAGCGTTAGCCGGCAGGAGATTCCCACACCACATGTGCCTATGGAAGAGGTTGCAGGCCGGTGTCTAGATAGCTGCCCAGAGACTGCTTGTGTTAGGGTCTCTCTAGACACCTCCCTCACAGGTGTGGCCAAAGAATTGAAGGAGAGGAGGCTCGTCTGGGCCAAGATGAAAAAGGAGAATAAAGGGCAGCTTATATTAGTCGATACAGAGATTTTTAGAAGTAGAATAGGGGCCCTAGTAGACTCAGGGGCCACCCGCAGCTATATTAGTAAGAAAGCGCTGCATAAGTTGAAACTGGGACTTAAAGTCCAAAAGCTAGCAGACCCTATAGTTAGTATCTTCGCAGACAATCATACTATGGTTGTAGAGGAGTATGTAGAGAGAGTCCAGGCGTATTTTCGCCTAGAGAAGGATGGGAGAGTGGAGAAGGTCCTCCACTCCCTGACTCTCCTCGTAGAAGACAGCCTCCCATTTGATATTGTCCTGGGAATGGATTGGGGAGAGGCAGCCGGGGCCACGCTCCATTTGAAGAAGCACGAGTGTAGGCTCCCTAGTTCTTCAGGCGAGGCCAAGACTGCCCGCCTGTTCCATGTGTCAGGAGTAGAGAATCCCTTGGCACATTGCTGTCTTAGTGCTCCTGCGTTCGCCAGGTTGGTGAAAAGGGAGAAATTGGAGGAACATGTTTTTGTTGCCTATGTTAGGCCAGTGACTGAGCCTACGGAAGAAAGGCCGATGGACCCTGCGATTGCCAAGCTGCTGGAAGAGTTTAAGGATTTGATTGAGCCGCCGACAGGCACGGTGCCACGGCCCATCCAGCACCGTATCAAGATAGAGCCTGGCAGTAGAACTCTTAAGGGTGCTGTGTATAGGATGTCCCCACGGGAGTTAGAGGAGCTTCGCAAGCAATTAGACGAGCTCCTCGAGAAAGGTTGGATTTGGCCCAGTTCGTCTCTTTTTGGAGCGCCTGTTCTCTTTGTTCCTAAGAAAGAGGGAGAGCTAAGAATGTGTATAGACTATAGGGGTCTGAATGCGATTACAGTGAAAAATGCTGAGCCACTGCCTAGGATAGACGACCTTTTAGATCAAGTGCAGGGGGCTAAGTATTTCTCCAAGATAGACTTAAAGTTCAGATATCATCAGATAGAGGTACATCCTGATGATCAGTATAAGACAGCCTTCCGGACTAGGTACGGGCATTATGAGTTTATAGTGATGCCCTTTGGACTTACCAATGCGACAACAACTTTTCAGCGGTGTATGAATGATTTGTTTAGGCCATGGTTAGACAAATTCGTCGTAGTTTACTTAGACGACATCCTAGTCTTTAGCAAGACCCTCGACGAGCATCAGGGTCATCTCAGGCAGGTCTTGGAGAAGCTGAGGGAAGCTAATTTCAAGATCAATGCGAAGAAGTGCGATTGGGCAAAGACCCAAGTTTTGTATTTAGGCCACGTCTTAGACGGAGACGACGTTAAGCCAGAAGATAGTAAGATTGTAGCGATTAGGGATTGGCCTACGCCGCGTACGGTAACAGAGTTGCGGTCATTTCTAGGCCTAGCCAACTACTATAGGAAGTTCGTGAGGAACTTCTCCACCATCACTGCGCCCCTTTGCAGATTGCTCAGGAAGGAGACCATCTGGAAGTGGGATAAGGACTGCACGTCTGCCATGAAGAAATTGAAGTAGGCATTGATAGAGTACCCGGTCCTTAAGGTAGCCGATCCGTCCTTGCCTTTTGTCGTCACTACGGATGCAAGATAGTACGACATAGGCGCGGTGTTGTAGCAAGACGATGGCAATGGKTATAGACCCGTAGAGTTCATGTCTGCCAGGATGCCTTCAAAGAAGGTTGCGACATCTACCTATGAGAGGGAACTCTACGCTCACAGGCAAGCCTTAGAACACTGGAAGCACTACTTGCTTGGGAGGCACTTCAAAGTCAACTCTGATCATGAAACATTGAGATGGTTAAAGACGCAGGCCAAGATGACACCTAAGCTTACTAGGTGGGCCGCAGAGATAGATCAGTATGACTTTGAACTCAAACCAGTCAAGGGAAAGTATAATGTAGTTGCGGATGCTCTGAGTAGGAGAGCTGATTACTTTGGGGCAATAGTGCATTACCTAGACATAGGGAGGGACCTGCAGCAGAAGATTAGAGAAGCCTATGCGCAGGATCCTATCTATAGTGACCTCCTCAAGAGGGTCAAGGAGGCCCTAGAGACTGAGCCGAACTACCACACTACTGAAGGGTTGCTCTTTGAGAAGACTAATCTATTTGACCGCCTGTGCATCCCCAATAGTGAAGAGATCCGTAGTCTGATCTTGGGAGAATGCCATGACACAGAGGGTCATTTTGGTTGGCAAAAGACTTTAGCCAATCTGATGCGCGCATATACCTGGCCAGGAATGAAGAATGACTGCGTAGAGTATGTTCGCAGTTGCAAAGTCTGCCAGCGTAACAAGAGTTCTACGCGCGCCTCGCTAGGTCTTCTTAGACCCTTGCCCATTACGGATCAGCCGGGAGACTCAGTGTCCATCGACTTCATGGACACCCAAGTCAAGAGTAGGCATGGTAAGAGCCAAGTCATGGTCATAGTTGACCGTTTTAGCAAGTACGTAGTTTTTGTTCCTTTGCCTTCAGAGGCATGTACTGATTTAGTCATACAAAGATTTTTTGACTGTTGAGTGAGTGAGAATGGGATGCCACTGTCAATAGTTAGCGATAGAGATAGTCGCTTTACTAGCCAGAACTGGCAAGAACTCATGGGAGTATATGGATCTAAGTTGTTGATGTCGTTCGGCCGCCATCCAGAGACTAATGGTCCGACCGTGCAGATGAACAAGATCCTACAGCAAGTTTTGCGCATGTACATTAGGCCAGATCAGGTTAACTGGGATAAGATGTTGCCTAAAGTAGCTAGTGCGTACAATAACAGCGTACATTTGTCCACTTGCCGCACTCCCAACGAACTGTACAAGTCGTTTAGGCCCCGTAGACCATTTGAAGGACTCAACAGGGATCAGATAAACAGACTGCCGCCCGGGACCAGGGAGTTTGCTGTACAGCACAAGAAAGAACTAGCTACTGTTGTAGAGAACCTCAGGAAGGCCCAGGATAGGATGATAGAGCAAGCGAACAAACATCGTCACCCTTCAAAGTTTCAGGTAGGCGACTTAGTCTGGGTCAGTTCTGAGGAGTTTGCACCTGAGGAGAACATCTAGCAGAAGTTACTGCCCACATATAGAGGACCGTGGCCCGTTCTAGAAGTCAAGGGCGGCGAAGATGGACCGTCCTATACTATAGCACTCCCAACACACCTCCACACTTACCCAGTTTTCCATGCATCGAAGTTATTACCTTGTCAAACAAGTGATCAGTTTCCATCCCGTAGATCGATGATCCCACCGGATATGGATGGAAGGTATGACATCGATGGTATAGTGGTTGAAGATGTCTTCAGAACTGGAGGTAGGGGTCGTCGGCAGAAACAGTACAAGGTTCATTTTAGTTATCAAGAACCAGAAGACGACCGTTGGTTTACGAGATCTGAACTTCTAGAGACAGCTCCCAATATAGTCCGGGTCTATGAGAGGCAATAGCGAGGTAAAGGTCCTGCCTTGGACTAAACTTTTCTCGGAGGACCTCAAATTTAGGCCGGCGGGAGTGAGACGGTATTCACCAGTTCGCAGTAGCTGATGCAGTTCCCAGGGCTCGATCCCTAGTCCCTACATATATAGCTATCGCTAATTTCGGCCTGTGACAAGCAGATGATCGGGGCCCTCCGATTTTACACTCCGCGACGGTCCTGATCGTCTGCTGATCGTTTGCTCTTAGAAGTTGAACTGCCGTGGCTATGCGCCAGGGCCGGTACCGATCCCGTGGCCAGTGCCAGTACCACGCGCTGTACCGCGCCCACGCGCCAGCGCCCGTACCGAAGCGTGTTACCGACCCTACCGCACGCGGTACCGGGGTTGCGTGTGACGCGCTACCGCTTCAGCTCTGCTACAACGTGTAGTAACTAATTTTTTGGGCACGCGCACTGCCGAATTGAGGGCAGGTCTACCGGACGGCGGTTTGCTATGGACAGTCGCTGAGTTAGAGTCGACGCCGGCGCTTCTCTATGCTAGAAGTTGTTTTCGACACTCTAAGCTACTCGACGACATTCTGTGCTACTCTAAGCTACTCTAAGCTACTCTAAGCTCTACTCTACCCGTTTTACACACACACACACACACACACACACACACATGCACACACACATGCACACACGCACACACACACACATGCCCCCCCC